GGGACTCCAGGATCATGACCTGAGCCGAAGGCAGTCGCTTAACCAACTGAGCCACCCAGGCGCCCAAAGTCCTTTACTTCTTAAATAAATTATTTACCTTGCATATCAATCCTGTTGCTTTATATTCTTCCCAATTTTGACCTTGTATTTGAACCTGTAACTGCTTTGTGTTCTTTCTAATTCTCTATAGCCAGCAGGAGGAGTGATACCATATCTACAAAAAGAAGTGATAAACTTTAAACATGCCAGTGGAGGAATTTTCATTCCTTCAACTTCACAAAAATCCAGTACTACAAATTCTTTTGCTCCTGCTATCGACCCAACTATTACCCCAGAGTTGATGGAAAAGAAGGTAGAGTAATCAAAGATTTATTTTATATAAGAAATTGTTATCTAATGGAAAATATAAAGTTAATGCTTAATTTATAAGACTCAGTCATAGAAATAATGAGAGACTTAATGATATAGTAAAATACATGGCCTTTACCTTAAATAGGCCAATAATTGATTACTAGTAATCAATTAGAATATAATTTAATTTTGATTTAATAAGCACTTCTTATGAATATCCTTTTCTCACTAGGCCAAGACTGATTACTTAAAGGAACCGTAAGATGTCCTAATCATTCAGAGTTTTTGGTAGGTATTTGCCAAAAGGCATGCATTAAGTACCGTGATGCATCCTAAATAAAAGAGAAAAAAACAACATACTGTCAGGGGAACTCATGAAGAGGTCTTACCAAAATCAAACAAACAAACAAAAAAAGTTAGTGTTTATATAGTTCTATAAAGCTAATAGTAATTGTGGGACTTCAGCAACTTTTTAAAAATAAAAATAAATTTTGAGAACCATGTCTGCCTATGCCATAAATTTGGTATAAACTCTGAAAACACAAGTAGTAAATATACTAGGTCCATGTAAAAGATATTTTACAAACACAAAATAGAGTCAGTTCTCCTAAATAATCACTTTACTTTGCAAGCTAGAAGTTTTAACAATGTCAATACATCTGTATTAGACTGGAATGAAATAAAGTCTCAAAGTGATTTTAAAAAAATGTAAAAATCACATGGAAATTTAAATCCATGACCTTCCTATCAAACATAACCTTAATTAATTACCTGTCCTAATGGGATTGGTCAGCTGTGAGGCTCATGGGTGTTTGTGATAGAAGGGCAGGCTGGGATGGCACCAAGAAGTAAAAAACACACACTAAAAAGCAAACAATTTGGCCTGAAGGGGAAAAAAAAGCCAAGGGTTTTTTGAAATCTCCTCCTTGCTGCCTATGAGTCTTTTCTGATTCCTACTTCTGTGAAAATGAATCCTAAGCATTCTTCAGTTTAAAAAAAGTCTATAAAATATAACCAGAGTGAATAGTTTAGCACCTCTTCAGGAAAGTCTCTTTTATAACATGACATTTTGTACAATGCAAATCAATTCAGGTTATTTAATCAGAAATACTAAAGGATTTCAGTGTAGTATGACCTTCCTTCTATGTGACAACAGTGCCAGAAGTAGTTTTCTAGTTTTTATTAAGCATTTTGGAAAATATCTAGGAAATGTTCCACAAAACAGTCTAATGGTATTAAAATGCACTCCTATCTTATTTTTCAGAGAAAAAGCTATGGCAGTGCCCCGGATATCATTTTAGGCTATTTGCTTCCTCACTGCTAATATCAGTTCTTTGAAATACACAAAATACTCTTCTCTTGAATTTCTTTTTACTTATAAATAATATTATACTCTTTAAATAAGTCATAGAATCATATAATACAATCATATAATAAGTCCTGTTCTTTACAAAATTATGTTTCTTTTCAAATATCCTATCAATGCATAATCTAGAAAGTAGCAACAAGAATAAAGCTAGTATCACTGGACCAACTAGATCATTGCATTTATTGTTTATTAAGGATAGCTTTGGAAAATGAGAATAAAGATACACTGTCATTGGATTTATGAGTGTGGTGATGGTGACTAATGAACTAAAGTATGTACCTTGGACATATCATCTCATTATTACCCCCAGGCCCATTCAGCTAGACTCCTTCTGATGCACTTCCCCTCAGAATCAAAATATTTGGTGGCAGGTATCATGAAGAGCATGGTCCCAGTAAGACACAGCTACACAGAGAGATGGCTGTCCTCACCGAAAAGGTTAGATCCCTAGGAAGATGTATGCTGGTTTGAGGAGGCAGCATCCTGTAGAGAAAAGGGCATAGATTTAGGATTTCATCATATCTGGCTTTCAATGTGGTTTTGAGCCTTCAGCAAGTCACTTAACCTGAGTCTCGGGTGTAAAACAGAGATAACAATACCTTTTAGAACTTCTGAAGGGACTACATGAAGTAACATATAAGATACCTGGCCATACAAAGTACTCAGAAAATGTTAATTCCCCCCCTTTCACTTGTTACTATGGAAACTTCTTATTTTCTTAGCTTTGGAGCTACAGCTGAAATTCTGAGAAAACAGGAAAACTGACATTTAATATGCTTTATATATTTGTATGTAGATGTGAGTTGATGTGTGTGAGTGCATGCACACAGAAAGAAAATGAATACATGAATGTGTTAAGTGGTTTCAAACAAATTTGGTTAGTATTCTAGGCTTTAAAGTTGATCAAAATTCCTAGAATCATACCTTTTCCAGAATTTAGTAACATTATGACTCTAAAAACTGCTACTTACCCTGTGGAAGAGCAACCCAATAATCACATATTCTATTTCATCTTATATTTTCTCCTTTTCCCCTAAGTTGGTGAATTGAATGAATGTAATTCTGGGTAACTGACTGACCTCTTACTTTAGACATGATATAGAGATTCATACATCAAGATGTCTGATGAAAGCAGTTATTCAGCACTTGAGGACATTGTGTCCCCAAATTCCAAGAGTTCACAAGGTCACTGAAAAAATTGCATGAGGTAATTGATGCTGAGTGTTTAGAAAACAGGCAGACGCTCAACTTCTCTTCAAGGAGGAGGAGAAAGGGGGTGGTCAGAGACGAAAGAGGAGAGATGAGCACAATATAGCTACTCTGTTCAAGGGACGGTGAAGAGAAGCAGAACTCAGGGAAAACTACAAAACTCTAAGCATCAAACTAAAATCAAGTCAAGAGTTTGGCCATTATCAGAGGCACCTGGGTGGCTCAGTCGTTAAGCTTCTGCCTTTGGCTCAGGTCATGACCCCAAGGTCCTGGGATGGAGCCCTGCATCGGGCTCCCTGCTCAGCAGGAAGCCTGCTTCTCCCTCTCACACTACCCCTGCTTGTGTTCCTTCTCTTGCTGTGTCTCTCTCTGTCAAATAAATAAATAAAATCTTTAAAAAAAAAAAAGTTTGGCAATATCAGGGGTTACAATAATAAATACTGTGAAAAATATGAGGATTACATAAATACAACAGTAACAGGTAAAAGCATAAAATGGAGAAGTATTACATAAAATACTGCAATGTTAAACATTGTTACTCTGAGAATAAATATTTTCATAAAAACATTCATATTAAGCTAAGTATGCTGAAATTATTTATTCTAGGCAATATTACTAGGACCTTATTACTCTGGATAGCTTTAACAGATCCAATGTAGTGACTTAGCTTAAAAAATAAATTCTCTAATCTCTGACTGTTCAGGATCCAATCTGTTTCAGGAAGATGTTAAATCATGTTAAGGTATTCATGAGCAACAACTATGTTTGAAAACCTGAATACTATAATTGCTATCAATGAAATATATTACATTTCAAAGTACTTTATAAAAGAACTTTAAACTCTACCATTTTTGTTAGCAAAGTTAGGAAGACAAAAAAGTACACTTAATGGAAATATCACCAGAATACTAGCAAAAAACTCTCTTTTGTTTGTTTTAATCCTAACATCCCAATTGCCCCATCCCAGGCCAATGAAAAAAGGTGAAGCAGAAAAAAGCAGCTCAACCAACTCATTATATACTGATTTGAACAGAAAAAAAATCTACATAGAATAATTTCTCTAAAATAAGCTCTGCATAGATTTTATAATCCACAATGTTTTGTTTTGTTTTGCTTTAAATGTTTCTTTTGGGGAGGGGACATCACACTTCTACTCAATTAAGAGAAACATTTTTACAGTCTTGAGGTCTTTTATATTTTTTACACTTACCATGCCACAAATTCATGGGGAATGGGTTCCAGTGCTCCTCAAAACTTTCTTCAATGGTTGCTTCTTATCTGAATGTACTAAAATAGCTTTAGTTCAAGACTAAAATATAGAATCCATGCATGACTTCACCTTCAACATTAAATCCATATCTAATCTATCATCATGGTCTAGTATCACTTGTAATGCACAGATTTTAGGTATGTAGTTTTATGAGTTTTATTCACACACACACACACACACACACATAAATGTATATACCTTGTAGCCACCACCCCATCAAGATACAGAACATTTCTATCACCCCTAGGAAGTCCTTCTTGCTCTTTTCCAGTCAATCTCATCTCCCACTGTCATGCCAGGCTACTACTTTAAAAAATTTTTTCTGTCAGTATATATTCATTTTGCCTGTTCTGGAACTTTATGTAAATTAAACCATACACTCTATATTCTTTTGTATCTGGAGCCTGTTACTCAATAGAATGCTTTTGTGATTCATCCATGTTACTGTTTCAGTTGTATATTACATTACATGAAAGTACCAGTTTTTTTCTTCATTCTCCTATGGAAGAACATTTGTGTTGTTTCTAATTACTGAACATTACAAATAAAGCTGCTATGAATGTTCTTCTTATACAAATCCTTTCATGTACATATATTTTCATTTCTCTTGAATAAATACCAAGAAGAGCAAAATCATATGTATATGTTATAAATAACCATTTTATACTCCGATCAGCAGTGTGTCAGAATTCCAGTTTCTCCACCTTCTCGCCAACATCTACAATCATCTTTTTAAAAAAATCATTTTCATGAATTGCTCTTCGGCCACACATCCCTTCAAAGGTTAACCTTCACGGAGTCTGACCTCCATCCCTTCCTCTCTCTCAAAAGTTGCTGCATGAACATTGTCGTGATTATTGTTTTGACTTTAAAAAGTATTTATAAATAACCACTGACTCCTACATCTACATCTCAGTCTAATCTATTAAATAGTGAAGTCTACAGCTAGTCTAATATAGTAAATAGTTCAAAATTTCTCTTTTTAATGTTAGCTATTTTAACAAGTATGAAGAAGCATCTCATGGTTTTAATTTGCATTTGCCTGATGACCCATATAGCTTTTTTATGCTTACTGGCCATTTGTGTATCTTCATTTCCAAAAATTATATTCAGGTCTTTTGTTGACTTCCTTATGATTGAATTTTATGAGTTTCTAATATATTATGCATGAAGCTACTTTGTCAAATAAATGTATTTTAAATACTTTTCCCATTGTGTAGCTTGTCTTTTCATTTCTTAATGAGGTTTTTAAAAAAATACATTTTTTATGTTGATGCAGTTAAATTTGTCAATTTTTCGAAGATAAGTGTCTCTTGTGTCCTATTAAAGAAATCTGCACCTACTCCAAAGTAATGAATATATGTTCCTATGTTTTCTTACAGAATTTTTAATGGTATAGTTTTTATATTATTTA